GTGTGTGTATATGCACACACATCTGTCATCTGATACTGAAAGCCATGAGTTTACACAGATGCCTGCAACTCCATTCCCACACCACAGGCTTTACCCTAGCTTCCTCCCTCTTGATTGTGACCTTCCCAGCCGAGGAACACTGGGCTCGTCATACTCAGACAGGTTCATTAGATCAACCCCCTTGCAGGTAACCAAGAGTTCATCTCTGCCGTGGCCCCCTATGCCAAAGATGCCCCTTCACCCTTAATGGACTTCAGCAGTCTGTCCCGACTTCTCGTGTAGTTCACAGTGTAAATCTGACATGAAGGTTCCAATACTTTTAAGCCCGTGAAGTCGTGTCTGCCCTGAACCCCCGTGGTGACCTAAGTATGAGTTGCACCAAGTAGCTAAGTTGTTAGCTGCCTGGGGTGTCTCAAAACTACCGAGAACTGCTGCCATTTCAGGTGGAAGGGCCCCAAAGACCCCTTTGCTTCACACACAGGGAAACTGAGGTCCAGAAAGGGACTGGAATTTTCTACAGGTGAAGGATGAGTTGGGGCACAGGTGGGACTAGATGCCTTCCTCCTGTAGACTCCACCTCCTGCTTGTCTCTGCAGGAGAGCCGGTGCGTCTCCACGCCAACCCAGAGTGGCCCCAGATACGAGGCCCCTCGTACCTTTCTCTAGCCCTGCAAGGCTTCCCAGCTCAGCTGGTGTGTTAGTCATCAAGTGCTGCTATAACAGAAATACCACCGGTAGATGGCTTTAACCGAAACTATTCACTTAACCATTTAGGAGGCTAGAAGTCCAAATTCAGGGTCCCCAGGGAAAGGCTTTCTCTGTCAGCTCTGGGGGAAGGTTCTTATCACCAATCTTCTCTTGGATCTAAGACAGCAGTTCTCAACCTACGGGTCACGACCCTTTCAAAGGGGTTGCCCAAGACCATTGGAAAACACATATTTCCGATGGTTGGGGTCACCACACAATGAGGAACTGTATTAAAGGGTTGCGGCATTAGGAAGGTTGAGATCCACTGATTTAGGAGGTTCTGAGCACAGCAACTCTGAGTCCAAAGAATAGATTCCACTCCTGGCTCTTCTTTTTTGGGTGATAGTAGGTCCCTCTGATCTCTGTATGCTTGTTTAGTCTCTTTAATATAGCAAAAGAAATGGACTCAAAAGACAACTTAATCCTCTAGCATGTGTACTGCCTCTAATCTTGCCTCATTAACATCAGGAAGGCAAGGATTTACAACACCCAGTATAATTATATTGGATCACAAAATGGAGGGAGGATATTACATAGTACTGAACATCATGGCTTGGCCAAGTTGACACATATTTTGAAAGGGCACAGTTCAATCCATGACCGGTCACAGCCTTTGGGCTATGTCAACCTGCAACCTCATCTCACTTATCTTGCATCATGTTGGCCCAACACTTGAGAACTAGGAACGTTAGTGTAAATTTCAAAGTCATGGCTTCTCTTGGAAAACCAGGAGATCTGGGCACCCAGATCTCCCACCCCTCCTCCAGGCAGGCATCAGCTGGAGCTCTCCCCACCTTACCCCCATCTCCTCACCCCCACCTTTCATTTTCTCCCTCGTTCCCACACTCCCAAGTGTGCTGGCTTCTGACTGCCTCCTGCTGTAGGTTGCCTGCCTGGCACCCATTGGAGTTGGCTGTGGAGTTCAGTCCACACTCAGAGTGGAGACTACGGGCCCTCTCTCTGCCCCGCCCCCGCCCCCTCCAGCTTCCTCTCCTTCCACCCTCCTCCCCTGGCCGTGTGGAAGTTTAGGGAACCAGCCAGGCTCAGCCTCTGCTCTTGCCCTCCACTCCCCCTTCCTCAGGAACCTGGTGCCTCTGTCCTGCTCTGTCTTACCCTCACTCACTGCAGGGAGGTTCACAGCCCACCCCAATACCACTTTCAGTACCCTCCGCTGTCTCCAGATAACCCCTGTGCTCTCGTTCTCCTGTCTGTCTGTCAGGGCTATTAAACTACTGCCTCCCTGGAACCAGGAATGCATGTTTGTTTCTCCCCTGGCCATAGTGCCTAGAGGAGGGCTTGGCATCTGGTTGTTGGTGGTGTAAGTGGTCATTCAGTTGGACAGCCCCACGCACAACAGAACAAAACACTGCCCATCCTACACTATGTCCACGGTCGCCGTGTGTCCGAGCTGCCATTGCAGCCAATGAATGTGCATTCTGAAGAACTTCCACCCTAGGAGCTCATTTTCCAGCACCCTATGGGGCAGTGTTCTCTTGTGATCGATAGGATTTTCATTGGCTGATTTTAGGAAGCAGATGACCAGACCTTTCTTCCTAGTCTGTCTTCGTCTGGAAGTTCTACTGAGATCTATCTGCCATGGGTGATCCTGCTGGTATTTGAAATACTGACAACATGGCTTCCAGTATCACAACACGCAAGCCATCACAATACTACAAACTAGTCGGTGGGCAGTGGGTGTGTGGGTAGTGGGTGTATAGTGGGTGCTCGATGTTGGGCAAATGAAGATTCAGTTTTAACCATGAGTTAATAGCATCTCCTGAGCCCCAGTGTCATAATGCATACACATTGGGCTGCTACCCGCAAGGTTGGTAGTTTGACACCACCAACCACCCCAATGGGAGTAAGATGAGGCTTTCGACTCCTATAAAGAGCCTCAGAAACCCACAGGGGCAGTTGTACTCTGTGCTATGAATCGGACCGACACGATGGCAGGAAGTGTTTTCTTTTCAGACAACCATCCTAAGTGCTTTGCCTGCGTAGCTGCCTTGCCCTCCCCTCTGTGCTGTGAGAGCCCGCGGTGGTGGTTGCTGTCATTTGACAGACAGAGAAACCGAGGCACCTCAAGGTTACGTCAGGGAATGTGCCCAGGGCCCCACAGTGGTGGGTCAGTATTCGGACTTCGCAGCTCATGCTCTTCCCACGAGTGCGCCTCGCTACATTACAGGAGCCCGGATTTTGACAACCAAGGAGTTAAGTAGGTGTGGACAGATGATTTGTGGGGACTCCCTCCCCCCACCTCGCAGCCCCCAACAACCA